TCAAAATTTTGCTGTATTTCTAAATCTAATTTATGAGTCTTTTTAAGGTTTATGTTTCTTATCTGCTAAGAAACGTTCTATCACCTTAGTTATATTTGGGGTCATAGTGATTATACTGTTGTGGTTAAATCATACTTGCTACAAGTACTGTATCAACACCTTGCCATAATATGACCCCCATATCCGTTGACCATAAAGATAACTTAGCGACCAACGCAACGTAATGTATTCAAACAATATGCAACTTAGGATTTTATAGTCATCTTCGTATTCATAGGTATTATTCCACAGGAATTTCCTGCGTAAAATGCTCTGTACAATGTTCATGCATACATTGTGATATTACAAAGAGGCCGCGACGTAGGGATGGGCACATCGTAAAAGCATCGATACATTCATAATATCGCGCTCGATGCTGTAGACTGAACGAGAATGTGAAAAGTTCTCGGCCTGACAGAGACATGGCGATCCAATCAGCGAAAATGTATGAGTATTCCATGAGCGAATACGTCATTTGTACGTATGACAAGTTTCAATTTGTCCTATCAAGTGATTTGTTTGCAGGAAGTTTTGGAATGAACGTGTTGAGTGGTTTTCATTAAAAGGGATGATCTTGAATAGTGTGCTGTCATCAAATTCTTCGTGTCGCATGGATTAACCCCTAAGAAAATTCTTTCTAAATTAACAAAAGTTTATGGGAAATTCAACTTCAACTGTTAAAAAGTACGTATTTAAACTGACGGATAAAAACCACAACCACACCTGAAGCCATCGAAAAGGTACACCATGTGTGGGTGCCGCTTTTGCTAAGCGTCAATCAAATCGGATGGGCAAGCGAATTTCGTAGCAATGTTTGGAACAATAGGTATTCAACCGATTTTATGAAGCGATTCTTTACCATGGATGAGAGGTGGGTTCTCCACTAAACGCCTAAATCAAAACAGCAATTAAAGCAGCAGGTGAGAGCTGGTGATTCTGCGCCAAAGAGAAGTCGATTGCATCTGCGAAGAAGCACTGGGCAGCGAGTTTTGGAAACTGAAAGGGATTCTGTTCGGTCAGTTGGATATCAAAATTCTTGAGAAAAAGCCAAGCTTGAAGAAGAATAATATCATTTTTCATCAGGACAACACATCTGCTCACAAAGGTGTGTTGACAGAGTGAAAACTGCACGATTTGCTAGACCATCCCCTATTCTCTGTATTTGGTATCCCTAGCCTTTAATATGTTCCAGGTTTGACAAAATTCTTTCTAGAAAGCGTTTTGGGTTCGATGAAGGCTTTGAGAGCGCTGTAGGTGAGCACTTTAACAGCCTTCTATACTTCCACTTCCGAAAAGAAGTCCAATTGTTGGAGAAACGTTGAACCATGTGCGTTGGAATCGCAAAGTCGAGATTAAGTAAAAGAATGAAATCAACTTTTAACTGAAAATCGAAGTCTTCTCTACCCTCGTAGGTCAAGAATTTATAGTCGACCTCAAGGTCGCATTGTAAAATATATTATTGTATAAACGCGTACAATTGTTACTGTATACGTCTTGATATTCATGTATACTTTTATTCTGGAAAACGTTTTGAGTCCGAAGAATTTGAGAGCGCCGTAGGTTGATACTTTGACAGCCTTTCAAACTTCCACCTCCGAGAAGGATGCCTAATGTTGTAGAAACGTTGGATCATCAATAGGAGTAACACATGCTTTCCTACTACTTCTTCCTATTTGATTTGTGCCTATATTAGGCAAGTATACGTATTGTTTACATTGTCTACGGGTCTACGCAATGTCTACATCGAAAGGTCGACAATAATTGAAGTATACGCGTAAACGCTCTTCACTGGCTGAGTGCCAACAGAGGACTGACCAACCCTTGGATCCTAACAATAACGAACCATCGGGTGACCATTAAGTGGAGCTTTAAACTCTTGCATTTCACAAAACACATGTCATCACACGTGTTCATATTTTTGCAAACTTTAAAAACTGATCATTGTCAGAAATTTTGAAATTTCGAAAAATTTTTAAACCGATTTTTATGTTTGCAAACATCGATACTTTTCCTCATCACTAATGCATTGTGATTCCACCAAGAGGCCGCAACTCAAGTGATGCCGACAACATGATGATGTGCCGCTGGAATAATGAATAGTTCCTGGGATGTGGTAATTGATTCGCAAAACTGATATTTATACCCTTTTGAAGGTTGCTGGTACGACAGGTGGTATGATGTTTTATTACTTATTGCAAATTGTGTTTGAAATTATTGCAGATCCAGCGTCAAAGCTTCAAAGCACTGAGTAGATATTTGAATTTTCGTTTGAGAAGGTTTATACGGTAACATTGTCGGAAAAGTCATTCCCGAGGTTATGCATAGGCTCTGATTGCTTAACGCGCTGGGTATCCAAAATGTTGGGCTCCAGACTTATCTGCCATATTTTAGGGGCCTTGGCCTTTCAGCACCATAGAATGTGAGCCGAGAACTCGTCCTCTATCCAGTAGCGTGTTTTTCTCAACTACTATTTTCACATGTAGGTGTCGTCTGAACGTAACTTACAATGGTACCATTAGCAACGGTAGTTTTTTTACATACCCGGTGTTTCAAATTCGACTGTCACAATTGGGATCTCGGGAACGGGAAGAGATACTAAGCTGTTTGAATAGGAGCAAAGATGCGCATTCTGCTGACTAAGAAAATGGCACTTGGAAAGTTTCGCAATTCCAAGAATTTCCAAAGATAGACAAAGTAAAACGAATTTTCTCAAAATCGTTTTTATTTTTTCTTGACTTTATTTGAGATGGGATTTTGAAATAAAAAGTACATTAACACTGACACTTTTTCTCCACTGTAAGGTAGTATAATTAGAATCTCAATACGACTTTTGGTCTCTTGACTTCATCAACTTTTAGTCTCCATATTGAATTTTTGCACAGGTCAATGGAGTTTTTAATCCTTATTCCAAAAATGTATATGTCATACATTGAAATTGCTTAACTTTAGTTATTTAAAAAAAGCAGTTTACGGCTGAGGTATCATGTAGAGCGCCTCCATAGTTCTAAAATAACGCTAGATATAGTCGACAAATGGACAAATTATCGAATTTCCTTCCTTCTCAAAAATTGAAGCATTGGGGATTTAATAGGATAAACATGAGATGAACTGTTTTTTCAAAGCCAATTATGAAACTATTACTTTCTGTAAACATCTTTGGTTTGACAGTATCAATGTGTGAGATATTATTCTTTTTTTAAAATAAGAACTCTGCTCGAAAATCCAATAGCGTCTAAAATAAAAGAAAAAGTTGATGATTGAGGACAAGAGACCGAATATATTGAAATTCTAGGTATGCCAGCTTGTAGAGGGAGTAGTAATGTTAATGAACTATTCGTTTTATTATTCATATCTCAGATAAAGTCAGGAAAAACTAAAAACGATTTTGTGAAAATTCAGTTACTTTCTCTTATCCCCGGAAATACTCGGAATTGTGAAACGTTCTATTATATACCACTTTCTTGGTTACTAACATGCCCAACTTTTCCCCATTTAACCGACTTCGAATCTTTTGCCGTGTCCGATATCCCGATAGCCGAATTTGAAACAGAGATAGCAAAAACGTTTAAAGGTCTTTTCACGATTTTTGGCGAGTCACATCAAAACTACAGGTGTTACTTTCATACATGCATCTTACACATGCATAAATATGCAATCGGCCTCTATAAGCAAACGTGTGAGCTCACAGGCATACGTTTCTTAATTTTGTTTTACCACCATGAAAATTTTCTCCCTAAATTATGAGTCAGCCTTGTTTGTCACTGACTGTATGACAACTTGTTTGTCATGGGCCTGTGATTTGTGTTTACCCATAATGATCTTCGATATAAAACATAATAGTGCCTGAAGATACACCTACAATATCAACAGTCTGTATCTTCAGAAAGTGAGTGAAAACACCCAATTGATGCGTGTGTACAAAAGCGAGTAGCAACTGCGTTTTGGATCGGATTGCACAGTCTGCAATTTCCCTTAAGGAAGTTGAGCTAAGCACATGGTACCATTAGTCAATCTGCTTAATTATTTTGTATGACGTTGTGAAAAAATACGTCTTTGACAAAGATTAAACCCTCCCGACTGATGAGTCAACTCTTCAAGCGACAGTAAATCGTTGCAGATATATCACCTATTAAATGAAACCCATTGTTATGGCCACTAGTATAGATATTTGCAAATTTATTATGTTTGTTCTGGTGATATCAATAAAACCATGTAATGATTCGCAAAACACGACTAATCGGCCATTTCAATGCTTTATTATTATCTATGAACTAAGATGCGCGAGCAGGTATGCAAATATATTGCAATTTATTATTATTGCAACTCATGAAATAGATTACGAGTCAGAACTCAGACACTGAGTAAGCAAATTGGTATTGAACCAATAGTAACAATTGGCGTCATTTTATTTATACGTCCTTAATACAGGAAAGTTGAAATACCACTTGAACCAGTGCCGATTGATTAAAGTTTCCTATAAAAAAACGTATATACGGAATCTTGCCTACAAGCACTAATGTCTTCTGTAAGACTTCTCACAGTGACATCCCTTGCCTATATTTAACAATGTTGGGTTGATCAGTAAAAATAGGGGTAGACATATCTGTTTATAAAATTTCCATTTCAGCTTTTGGGATGTAGTTGTTCACAGGTTGAAAACCAAACAAAACCTTATTGTCGATAAATCCGTACTGGGAAGTTTTCAAATAAACACCCTGTATACTATATTTTAAATATGAGCACAGCCTCAGCCAGAATATGTATGTGCCCAGAAAGGTTGATGCTCCAGCGGTGACCTTGAAGGATATTTCTTGAAATTTGTATTAGAGTTAGCTTTCGATATTTGAAGGCAACGTTCGCGGAAAAATATTTCAATAAGAAACGATCTGGTACATTGTGAGGGGGAACCGGTTGATGATCATCAAATATTGGTCTTCAATGATATGTCTAGATATACAAACGTCCATATGAAGCATTATCGTTGAAAATAAGTCACGCTTAGGTGACAGCGACCGGCAATGTGCTAAACGTAACACGGCATCTCTTCTATTGGCGCATTCCTCATCTTTGTTATGTACCTTCTTTTTCCTCCCCTGCTTTCTCTCTGACTTTGATATCTTGATGTATTGATACACCTGCCGATCTACAACGGCAAATGTGATTTGAATCTCACTTCCGGAACTCGTTCACACTCTATCTAATCCAAACAATTATTCAGAAACAAGTGGAGTGCATCGATTATAAGCATCCGTCTCAATTTCACCTCAAAACGCGTTGTAGTTCATGCGCAAATTTCCGTCAGTTCTAGCGAGCGCAATGTCACTTTGCAAGTTTGTTTATGCGTTCAATTTTCCGGATATACTGCTGCGGAGTTGAATTTCATCATGGTATAACTAGGAAAGTTGGGGAGTTTCCTAGATGAAATTCACATAATCATCCAAGGAAGTCGGACGAAAGGAAACTGATGTACCGTAAAAGGTTTTTGTTTACGTCGCTGAGCTAAGAAAACGATACGAATACTGTTATGCAACGACGTTTAGTTGTATATACGAACTATTTCTAAAATGTTTTATATACGACCTATTTCTAAAGCGTGTATTGAAAAACGACTTTTTTAGGTCCCAAGAATTCAGTTCCCCGATAGTTGAATTCAGCTATCAGCCATTAGACTTAAAGCTACTACACACAAGCCGGCGGCAATGCCGTCGGCAATACAAGCCGCCGGCACAGGCCGCCAAGCATCATTCCGGTTGTGACTCACATAGAACGCTAGTGAAGTGCATATTTTATGGTTGGTTGGTTAAAATGAATAAGGAAATCATCAGCACAGCCGCCGCAGTTGTAATTTTTATTTTAATAAGAAAAAAATACAAAAGGACGAGAAGGTTTGGGTTGCACCCAAGTTTACAAAATAGAAAATGGCGAAATGGTACTGTAATGATAGAAGAGTATAAAAAAGATGATGTGGGGTGTCAGCGTTTCCGCAATAGCATGTTTTTTGGGTTTCTGTACATCGTCTATGCCTGCACCAGATTTGTGCAACTGTTCGAACTTCTTTTTTTCCCGAAAATAATGAGAGGTTACATTTTTTAACTTTCTCTCTACTTCGCCTTTATCAATGTCAAATACACTTGCAATTATTTTCAGTGCGTCGATTGTTCCTATTCTTATAGTCTGCATTTCTGGGATTCCATAATATATCATTTTCCTGAAATTTTTCAATTAAGAGCAGCACAGCTTCGTCGTCCCAATTAAACGACATTTTAAGCACACAAACCGCACAACACTACCGCCGGCAAGCCGCGTAACCCGCCGGCGTTCCCCGGCGGCTCCTTTACGCGGCAAGGCCGGCGGCTTTGTATGCCGCCGGGTGTACGGAGGCTTAGCCAGCGGCTTGCCCGGCGGCCCTGCCGCCGGCACTGTGTGTAGCAGCCTTAAAAGCTACTACACAAGCCTGCACACTCCGCGGCTCCATTGCGCGGCAAGGCCGGCGGCTTTGTATGCCGCCGGGTGCACGGAGGCTTAGCCGGCGGCCCTGCCGCCGGCACTGTGTGTAGCAGCCTTTATAGTGCATCCTTAGTTACAGAACAGAAGCTGCTACTCTGAGGACATGTGTTACTGTGCGTGGGCGTAATATCCACTCATCAGACAAATTTCAGTCAGAGTGATTTTACTGACCCTATAGTGTGTTACAATGCATCCTTAGTTACAGGCAGTTGATGTAACACCTGAAACTTATCCTGTAGTTTTCATGCTGATAATCTTCCTTGTTTGTCTGATCGCTAAATGAAATCACATATGTTTGAAATAAAGTTTACTGATTACAACATTTTGGCCATAACGGTGGTCTTTTCCAAGTACACTTTGACAATTGTGACAATACATTTTGCTTATCTGTCTGCCAGGTGACACTTCGTTGGTTTTTTTAATGACACACACGGCGCACTGTGCATCGACCCTGGGGAGGCGATGGACCTCACAAATGATTCCAGAGAACATTTGTTTTTTGAACATGTCTCTACTAAATTTTGCTGTTACGGGACCTTCTCGCAGTCTTTTGGGGGCCTCTACAAACTTTTTGCCTCTGACCCCACTCCGTTTTGACCAGGTCCTATGCCTCACCAAGTATCAAGGAGCTGGCATTATTGTTACTACTACTTGGTAAGTTGTTTAGGGTTTTAACCGTTTAGATTCTAGCCTATTGTATGAACAATAGCGTGAAACTATAGGTAGAGTAATCAAACTATCACCACTATGTCGTTTGTTTCAAAAACATGGTTTCATGTATTACACCGTATACGTGGCGTTTATATGTTATACAAACAGGTAGATAGTCAAATACGCTTTAATGATGCCCAGAGACAGGAAGTAACGCTGGCAAATGCCAGTTTTACTAGCGCACCTCTTTCGCACATTGCAGCTTTACGACCATTTTGTTTATTTAATTTAGCTTTTACTACTGACTATAAATTATACGATTCTTTCTTCGAGATAGTGTTAAATTTTGTGCAGGTATGCAATTACTTGTATAACCGGTCACGAGGTTTTTGCAGCCACATGAAAGGTACAGTCATACGAAATAGGGTCAATGAGATATTGTCTAATAATTCAGGACGAAAAATAAAAGAGAAAAGATTTTTATTAGATATTTGTATCTCCTAATAATATGAGCTTCACGTGCAAGTATTCATCAGAGTGTCAGACGTAGTACATATACATGACCTTGTACCCTGATTTGACCAACACATGTAGTAACTGTATTAGAAATGCATAGTGTCATAATTTGAAAAGTCAAGACCATTATTGTTAATTGTAAAGAGTCAGAAGGGACAAAAATACCACGACAACTGTTGTTTTCAGAACGAGAAATGTTGTGATTTTGAGGCTGTCCAGTACATGTAAAAGTGGTGAAACAGGACTTGTGTCAGATCGAAGAGAGGTGTTATTTCGTGGTGCATGGAAGTATTGTGTGCACCGTGAGAGATATTATAGTACCAAAACACTGACAGGCAGAAGGGACTTTTAATGTGGTCGATAGTGTTCACAGTTCAAATAGCAATGTTTAAGTGATACTACTGAATGATTATAATTGAAAGCACGGGTAACATAAAATGCATTACAAATAGTGTATATCCCCTATATTAGAGATTTCAGAAAATGACAGAAAACTTTCAGAAATAATCGGAAGCAATAAGACTAGGAAAGGTGGTGTATTGTGCTGACAATAGAAGGCACGAGCGCGGTTTAATAGTATACCGTTTATGGTGGCTTAGTTCAAATCGCTTTCTGAAGATGTCATCGCCACCGGTGGTACTAGAAGGTAGCTAAGAGAGTACTATTTATAGGGCCAATTTCACTAACATTAATATTTGATGGTCAGTCGGACCAATAGGAAAAGACCTTATCGAAATTCAATTTGGCGGAAGCTGTCAAAGCTCTCTGAATATCAGTGATTTCTATTGAAATTTTGAATAAAGTCGTGAAAAAACGGTTGCCTTATAAATAAGGGTACATTATAGATGTAATATTATGGCTTTGTGCTTTAGAATTAGGATGACTTTCATAGAATTTAAAATTTTCATCATTTCACAAAAGAAATAATAGGTCGATTTTCTAGCTATTATATTTGGCAGGATGTTTTGACTGTTTTTGACGACCGGTCATGTATGGCAATCTAGTTTTGTCTGTATATCACGTACAGGTTGTTGTACATAATACGTACCTGTAGAAATGTACCGATTTTTGTTATTTGCAAAAAAAAGAAGATATAAAACGTATTCCAACTGGTTCATCATCTTTTGTTACATCAAAAACAATTTTGCCAATTTATGATCTAGAAATCCACACTAAATGAAAACAATACACCACATTCCGCAGTTCTGGGTACTGAAACATCGAAAAGTATCCGTATCCACCTATTATTCATCGTCTAGATATTATAAGTCAGAATCAAAAATACCTATTTATGAAAATATATCTCCAAACATTGTTATATTTTCTTATAATTTCTATTATTATAACACGTATGGGATATCAATTGCTTTTAAAGTGCCGAACCGGCAAAAAAAACGGAGGTAAATAGTGTCATTCAATTCGGTATAAGGTAAATGCCGTTCCAAGATCAGTGGTAGATCAAGGACCTTTGAGTCATGAAAAACGTCTGTTATTGTATTGGGCGCGCACCCAACATGTTTTTTGAGTGCATAGTTCTATATTACAACTTATACAATGTGCATACTGGTCGCTCTTTCAAAGTACTTTGCAACCATTCTGGAAACTCCTTTTTCGATTCTTGCTTTTAGGATTGTGAATATTTTTCTGTTTTACCCCTGAACTCATGTTTCAGCTCTTTTTCGGCAAGTATAGAAATATTTAAATTATTTTGAAAAATCGTGGAGAATCGGTAAATATTCTCTTTTCGGTAAAAATACCGAAAAATACGGTTCAAGTCCATGCATAGACAATCTGAAATTTGCAATATGAATTTATATTCTAAATTCTATGCATATCCGTTCATATTCGTCAATATTTCATTTGAAGCTTTTATTTGTCATAAGATTTCAGCAAAATGTAAGATAGTAAAGGCAACACCGCACCCTGCAGCCCAGTTGACAAGAACGACAAGCTGTCAAGATTAGGGATGTTTAGATCCACGAAAAGTATCGATATGTATCGATTCTTATCGTCTTAGGAAGTATCGATACTCTAAAATATTGGAATAAAATTATCGACATCCAGCGGAAGGAAACAAAGAAGAAAAGTAATCTGAAGTTAGTCACTCTTTCTGACACAGTCCGAATCGAAATATGTCGATACTCGTGAAATGTATCGATACACCCAAGTGTCGTATATAAAAATATCGATCCAAAATATCGGGTATGGGAAGCAAAAGTATCGATACTTCTAAATATAGGATAGTATCGAACATCCCTACTGTCAAGATGTATAACCCGAGGTACCGACGGCATCATGGAAATAATTTTACATTTTCATTTGCATTTTTTCAACTGTTGTGTAAATATTTTGGGAAAAATTCCACGAACAGTCTTATAAAGCATCGTAGAGTATATTTCAACACTTGAAGCTCATTCGCTGTATTTGACGTATTTGATTGTTATCCTATAGGTGGAGAATAAAGGACTG